CCGCCGGTTATTCCAGAGAAGAAGGCACCAACTAGGAATATAGCTGAAGTCATCAAACAGCAAGAAAGTTCAAAAAAAGCCTTACAGAATGGACAGAAAAAGAAAAAAGGCAAAAAAAGCAAAAACCATGAGAACAGCATATTGAAAGAAATTAAAGATTCTCTAAAAGCAATCTCAGACAGAAAATCGGAGGAAGGTTCACGACCCTCCACCCGTCCCTCCACCCCACAAAGGTCTCTCCATGACAACCTTATGGAAGCAATTCGGGCAAGCAGCATAAAGCAATTAAGGCGGGTAAGTAAGAGGTCATATTTCAGTAACTGATTGTGGCTCAGCTATAGCACAAGCTCAATTAATTTTAGTACATATATATTTAATTAAAAAAAAATCTTAGAAATGTGAACATAAGAAAACGTTTGTGGGGAGGACTTTGTCTGGTTAGGCTTTTCTCAGCACGCTGATTTCTATTCGACCGTGATTTTGACAGAAAGTGGGGTACTTTCCCAGGTTCAGGCCTGTTACAGGAGATGCTGCGTAGCACAGGGATCTTGGGAGTGTGTCTGCAGCTCCGGTAGGAATTTTGCCATCCAGACTGTACAGCAAATGTAATGCACGCCCCCACCCCCTTTTGTAGGTGGAGGTACCAGAAGCCCTTCGGTGAAAGCCTGGACGACAGAAGAAGCAGAGCACTGCAGTGGTCAAGGAGAGGCTACTCATCCATTCACTGGTGGTAAAATAGACTGTGTAGCAAGTCGCTTCCAAAGTACACCCTTAGATTCAAACAATTTCTCTTTTATTTCAAAGGAATAAACCCGCTAAATACGAAACAATGCTTTAAGGATACATTTGCTTTGTAATCTGTAAATATGGAAATAATTTTCTTTTTTATTTAATGAGATTTCTATTGAGAAATTGCTGCTTATTTAGATATTCTTTTCAATATCTGATTGCACATCACTGGACAAGTTCTTCACACTGAGATGTAATAGTTTACCAGCCTGTGGTTTCTTCTTTTTCCTTTTTTTTTTCCATGAATTTACAATAAACGTGGTTTGAAGCTTTCAAGCAGACACATAGTCCTGGGTTTCTGTGAGTGAAAACCTATCAGATGTTTGCGTCAAGTTCATGAGCATTAGGGAAGTCTCCTGGGAAAGAACCTGAGATCCTTCTCAGCTGCACCCATCAAGCCTGCTTGGAGGATAGTACCTGAGCCCATATGTTAGTGCAGTTTCATACTGACATGGGAAGAAATGGTACCTAAGGCTATAGACAACCAAAATTAAGCTGTGGGCTGTATTGGGTCACTGGTGTTGCATACCTGGTCCTAAACCTTGATCTAAGAGATGGAGAAGTGGGTGATGAATAGAGCTGCAGTTCACATTGACTTAAGGGTTAAAAATTAATGTGGAACTAATTGCACAAGATGCAGCAGAATTATTCAACTGAGATCCATTCATTACAAGTGCCCATGGCTGTTTCTAGGCAGAACTAACCCCAGCACAGACATTCAGACAGAGGAACTTGAAGAGCAGTCTAGCATTCAGGTGGAAAAAGACTTTCATATGATATCAGCTGAACAACAAGCAGGGTGTGAACTGTCAATATGATATGGTGGAAGCAGAGCCAATATCATCTGGAGATGCACGGCTGGAGGTATCACATCAGAGGTGATGACATGAATAGCCCTTCTTCATGTAGTACTAGACATCTCCCTCTCTCAGAGCAGTTACGGTTCTGGGTGCTTCAGCTAGTGTGAAGGTAGCGATAACATGAAGAAAATTGAGCAGTGGCCAAGATGTTGAAAGGCAAGAGGAGATATATGTTTAGAAGCACTACTAAATATTAATTAGTTTGCTCATTTCAACAATAAATAACAGAGTTGTTATTTATTTTACATAAAACTACACCAAAGAGAAGTAATTACTTAAGGTTACCCAACATTGCAGTGGTACTGGAAAAATACAGGTAAGCTTGTATCTAGAAATATTAATGAGACAGATTTCCCCAGAAAGAGGAACAAATTACTGAAGGGAAATGAAGCATAACAGAGAGGGGATCCGTTAGTGAACTGTCAGGAATATTACGGCAAGAAAATGGTGAAGATACCATTTTGCTTATGTATTTATTGACTAGATCCTACCAAAAGCAATTTATAACTAACTGAAACACTTTCTAACATTTTTCCCCTTGCCTCAGGATCACAACAACTCATGAGTATTTCTAGACCCAGTATCACAGGAAATATGGTATGTACAACGAATCTTTAGCTGCCTTTATAATTGCATAGGCTCCCGTGGCATAAAAATCAACCTATGGTCAGTCTTCCACCACCAAATGGAATCTGGAGCTTGGGATCTTCTGAGGATGGAACGCTGGGATGCAGACCACAGTCGGGATGAGACCTGTGACCCCAGACCTTGTCTCTAGCAGCTTTGTGAAGGATGAGAAACAGCAAAACATTTAACCAAATGCCAGAAGCAGATAAGCAGAATGAAAGATAAGGAGTGAACTCAGGGAAAGCACAATGGAGAAGATCTGGAGGAAGACATGAAAATGTTTAAAAAAATAAAACCTAAGCCTTTAGAGAAGAGAAGAGAAGAGAAGAGAAGAGAAGAGAAGAGAAGAGAAGAGAAGAGAAGAGAAGAGAAGAGAAGAGAAGAGAAGAGAAGAGAAGAGAAGAGAAGAGAAGAGAAGAGAAGAGAAGAGAAGAGAAGAGAAGAGAAGAGAAGAGAAGAGAAGAGAAGAGAAGAGAAGAGAAGAGAAGAGAAGAGAAGAGAAGAGAAGAGAAGAGAAGAGAAGAGAAGAGAAGAGAAGAGAAGAGAAGAGAAGAGAAGAGAAGAGAAGAGAAGAGAAGAGAAGAGAAGAGAAGAGAAGAGAAGAGAAGAGAAGAGAAGAGAAGAGAAGAGAAGAGAAGAGAAGAGAAGAGAAGAGAAGAGAAGAGAAGAGAAGAGAAGAGAAGAGAAGAGAAGAGAAGAGAAGAGAAGAGAAGAGAAGAGAAGAGAAGAGAAGAGAAGAGAAGAGAAGAGAAGAGAAGAGAAGAGAAGAGAAGAGAAGAGAAGAGAAGAGAAGAGAAAGAGAAGAGAAAGAGAAGAGAAGAGAAGGAGAAAGAGAAAGAGAAAGAGAAAGAAAAAGAGAGAGAAAAGGAAGAGAAGAGAAGAGAAGAGAAGAGAAGAGAAGAGAAGAGAAGAGAGAAGAGAAGAACACGGAAGAAGAAAACCTAGAAAAGGAAAAAAGGGAAGGTAAGTCTCATCCTTCAGGTTGGTAAGACCTGCTGGAGTTACTCTTTTGCAGAAAGGGAGGGCAATGGGCACAGCCCTTGCAAAGGCTCGGCCGGAGCTGCTGACTTTGGTTGCTGACAAGTGGCTCATCAGTCGTCTGGTGCTGCAGCCTGCTCTGACAACAGAGATTAATATTAAGCTAAAATGTAAAGTCACAGAAGTGGTGGCCATGGGTGGTTATTTAAGGTCCTGTGGCACACTCCCTCATGAAGTGTCAGTCCTGCGCCTTAGCCAAAGCCTAATCTGGGTAATTACCTTCCACCTACATAAATTCCGCAGCCGTTTCACTTGGAGGCATTTCAAAGCCTGTCTCCTATTCACAGAGTCATGAGGCAGAGCCCCCGAGAACACCTTCTTAAGGTGTCGATGCCCCGCTGAAGGGAAAGGCAGCCCCCTTCCCTCCTGGGGTGGGCGCTAGCCCTGCTGCCGACGGCGCCGAGCTCCCTCCAGGATGCTTCCAAGGAGCAATGGGCTTTCCTTTCAAACAGGCACGTGAGCACTGTATGACAAGCGTACGAAACCACCCTGGGAGGTACTGTGCTGCCTTCCTGGACTGGAAGACGGTTTAGCAGGAGCTGGGAGGTGCCAAGCTGTATGCCGGGAAAAAAACCCCCCCTGCAACTGTAAGGTCCTGCCTGTAAGATCAGTTCACTTTCCATACCCTTCCCTTGGGTCACAGGGAGGCAAATCACCTCCTTTGAAGGCCTGACTGCCTCTTGTTCGACCTGTAAGGAAGGCGGCCCCTGGGTCAGCTCCTGCCCGTCCCGTGCTGTGGCCCCATCTGGACAAGGGAGTCCCGGGATGCAGGTACGCTCCTCATCTGGACTTGTGGGGCTCCCTGCAGCGGGTGGCCGTCTGCTTTCTGTCAGAGACCTGTCAGAGAAACAAACACACCAAAATCCGTCAAAATGAATTGCTCAGCATAAAGAGCTGCAAAGGTCAGCCAAGTGCTTGCTGTCACAGGAGAGGACAAGGGTTGTAACGTCTTTAGGAACGACCTATATGTCCTTAGAACGTTATTTATCTCCTCATGAGTTGCAAAAATGACCAGCAGAAATACTATAGCTTCCCAAGGAAGAAAAAAACCAAAACCTGCCTCCCCTGTTCACACTGAGC